AGGGGGGATCAGAAGGCATTGGGGGAGTCACTGTTCCCCCGAGCACAGCCAGGAGTGACCAGGAACAACGGTCACAAGCTAGCAGAGGGTAGATTTAGGTTAGACATCAGAAGGCGCTATTTTACGGTCAGGGCGGCTAGGGTCTGGAACCAACTTCCAAGGGAGGTGGTGCAGGCTCCTACCCTGGGGGTTTTTAAGAGGAGGTTAGATGAACACCTTGCTGGGGTCGTTTGACCCCACTACTCTTTCCTGCCATTGTAGGGGGTCGGACTAGATGATCTTCTCAGGTCCCTTCCGACCCTAGAAACTATGAAACTATGATTGGCTCTGTAGATGAAGGGAAACCAGTGAATGTGAAGTTATATCACATCACCAAGGTTTTTGATACAGTCTTCCACAACATTCTCACAAGCAAGCTAAGGAAGTATGGGCTGGATGAATGGATGGAAGAGGATAGAAAACTGGTTGGATCATCAGGCTCAGGGAATAGTAACGAATGGCTCCATGTCTAGTTGGCAGGCAGTATTGAGTGGAGTGCCACAGGTGTTGGTCCTGTGGCCGGGTTTGATCAATATCTTCATCGATAACCTTGAAGATGGCATAGAGTGCACTCTCAGCAAGTTTGTAGAAGACACCGAACTGGAGGGAGGTGCAGTAGTTACGCTGGAGGGTAGGGCTAGGATTCAGTGACCTTGACAAATTGGACATTTGGGCCAAAAGAAATCTCGTCAGGTTCAATGAGGAGAAGTGCTAAGTCCTGCACTTAGGATGGAGCAATCCCATGGCTTGGGACCAACTGGCTAAGCAGCAGCTCTGCAGAAAAGGACCTGGAGTTACAGTGGATAGTAGGCTGAATGTGAGTCAACAGTGTGCCCTTGTTGTGAAGAAGGCTAATGGCATACTGGTCTGCATTAGTAGAAGCATTGCCAGCAGATCAAGGGGAGTAACAATTCCTGTCTATTCAGCACTGGTGAGGCCAAATTTGGAGTACTGTGTCCAGTTTTGTGCCACCACTACAGAAAGGATATGGACAAGTTGGAGAGACTCTAGAGGAGGGGAGCGAAAATGGTGAGGGGACTGGGGCACATGACTTCTGAGGAGAGGCTGAGGGATCTGGGCTCATTTAGTCTGGAGAAGAGAAGACTGTGTGGAGGATTTAATAGCAACCTTCAACTACCTGAAGGGGGTCTAAGAAGAGAATAGAGCTAGGCTGTTCTCAGTAGTCACAGATGACAGAACAAGGAGCAGTGGGCTCAAGTTGCATCATAGGAAGTTTAGGTTAGATATTAGGAAAAACTTTTTCACTAAGAGGGTAATGAAGACCCTAGTCTTGGTTGCTCCTTGTCGAAAGGCCATAGGAGCAAACTAGAGGGAAAGTCCAAGAGCAATTCTCCTTCACCATAACATGTGTAGCTGAGATCCACTCATTGGGAGGCTATAGTAGGCTCTCATATGGATGCCTGCTTGCAGTCCAGTGGACAAGTCTCCATCCTCAACTACACCAAATAATTCCAGATCAGGAAGAAGGGGATCTTCCCTTCCAAGTGCAGTAAAACCAGTGGGACCAACACAATCATCATGGAATCTCCCATGCCATACTTATGGAAACCTACCACAAAGATAGGTTAGTGTAAATCCATCTGAGTAAAATATATGGTAGTGCCCATTGAGGACACCTCCCTCTTTGTCCCATCTCTTTCAAGTCATGGTAGCCATTATATTGAATACATTTCATTTTCCTCTTCACTCGCACAGCTAAGCTGTGACTTTATTTCCTGTTTGCAGTGCTTCCTGTTTCTTCACCAGCCTTTTATGGCTGGCAAACATAACTGAACAGGGCCTCAAACAGTTCACCCAGAATCCCTCAGTTGCCCCCTCTCTCAGCCTGTTGCATATGATTAGTGTGTCCTTGCCCTCCATGAGGTGAAGCAGGACCAGACTGCTCTGTGCTTCATCTGCATGTACATTTTTGGAGCATCCCAGGACTTGTGACAAGGACATGAGTAGGGCACTAATAGCACGTGGATCCTTATGGTAACTGGAGTACACACACATACTGAGCAGTGCTGGGCTGCGTGGTCATCATGGCTGGAAATGCTGTTCTCTGTTGGGGGAAGAAGTTGAGGAGTGCTGAGGACAAAGGAAGTACCAGACCCCCAGATTTATTTTCTGTGCTGTAGCAGTGGAAGGGTGACAAAATCAAGGCAAACCTCCAATAATTAGATTGTATATGTGAAAAATTGTAACAAAATTATAAGTTTTTTGTATATAGAATCTAATTATTGGGGGTCCTATTGTAATCACAGTTACCTTATTAGAGTAAATATGGTATTATTTTTTTCACTTTCATCATGACATGTTTACAAAAATATGTTGAGCCTTTCCCCGTTCCATCTTTTTCTTCAAAATAAGTATATTTAATAGCACATTTACTACCTTCAACCTCCCTCATGTGGTTTGTATTCTTTATTTTTATCTCTTTTTAGGTCAAGTCTGTTCTTGGTCAAACAGACCAATTGCTTTAAAAATGTAAAAACTTGTGTATGTGCATATATGTGCATCAGTCAAAGAGATGTCCATATTAATTGTGGTTAAATAGAACATTAACAACCAATTGTAACGTGTGTGAACTGTTTTTTGTTTGCAGTTGGATAGATTTGCCAGTATACGTATTCCAGGCAGTAGAAAAGAAAGACCGCCTCTGCACCTAAAACAGTCGCATTCCTCTGTTAGCGATTGGTCGTTATCATCGCCTACAGATATGGATGAGTTCATCCCTGAACCATTATCTGACAGAGAGATCCTAACGCTTTTTGAAAAAATGATGGTAAGAATTGCTGATTATTTTGATCTTGTTCTCTTTAGACAGCAGATTTTTTTTAAGGTTATTTTAATCTATGCTTAATTTATGTACCTTGACTGACCAAAGCATTATGTATACACTGGGAATCTGAATAGATGTGCTTTCTAATGCAGACCTACAGGTACCTTCTGTTTATTACAAATGCCTTCCTATAGGCCCGCATGGAGCCCACTTACACGTGGTCGTGGTTGCCCTAGGTGAGCAGGTAATAAATACAACATTAATATGTGATAAGAATTTGGCACTGTACCAAAGTTTCTGGGAAGTGTAAGCTAGAGTTGGGAACGGGAATTTCAGCATTTCATAGTTTCATTAAGGAATAAAAGGCTTTAAGTATGGCCCTGGGCCAGGGCACTGTGTGCGCCTACCACTTTAAGGCCCTGGAGCTGGCAGCCGCCAGGTGCCTAATGAGGGCAGCCATTTTAGGTTCAGGGCTGCCCATATAAACAAGGCAGTTCAGCTGCAAGAGACCAGGCAACAACACTGCCTGGCCAGAGGGCTGCTGAGTTTCATCCGGAGGTAAGGGAGGAAGGTGTAGGGGATGATAAGGAGTCTTCTGGTTCTGGGTATGACCTAAAACTACACCCTGCCGGGAGTGGGTGGCCTGGTGGGGCTCCCAGTGGTGCGGGAGCCCCCAGGAAATGCCAGGCCAGTGATCACCCCGGTGAAAGGTGGGTTGGGGCGCCTTAACCCCTAGCCCTCACCTTCGGGTGGGTTGTGTTCCATTGGAGGTAGTTGTGGGGGTGGAAGCCCCGAGGAGGAGAGCGGGGAGCCAGGGCCACGTATGGCCGAGGCTGCCTGAGCCTCAGAGGTAGAGGTGGCCAGGCATGGCTATGGCTGCCTGAGCCTACCTGAGGAGGGAAGCCCTGAGACCCGGAGCAGAGGGGGTGTTATGAGCAGCAAGAAGCCCCGGTGGGAGGGGGCTGTGACGAGAAGCCCCGGTGAGTAAAAGGGGCAAAGATCTGGGCCAAGGGTCGAGTGAACAGCAGGGCTCCATCCCAGAACAGGAGAGGCGAGTCCTGACTCTGATAAGTCCTCCACTGTTGGCAGGCAGTGTGTGGATCGAAAATAACATCTGTAGTAGCACCACGACCTGCTGCCCTGGGGGGGGAGTGAGTCCCCTGTGAGACCGAGGCTCCAGTCGTGGTGTGAGGTACCCCAGCTCCCCACGTCTGTGAAGGAGGCCCCAGGAGGGGGACCCTGGGGAAAAAGTAAGGGTTGTACATTGAAGCCTGTCTGAGTTTCGCCTGACTGCCCAGGCGGGAGCCAGGACTGTGAGGGTCAGAAGGGCTAGGGGGCCCACCGAGAGGGACGCCCAAGAGCCAGGGGCCTGGGGCCCCGACTGGCCTGGGGTGGCCCGGGACTAGAGGAGGTGAAGGTCCCAGTGAGGGGACCACACCTGAAGGGGAACCGGTTGCAGGGAGATGTGTGGCCCAGTATGACAGCGGCAGAGTTCTCCTGAAGGGAGGAACCCAGGTGGGGTCCTACATAGGATTCTGGGGCCCATTGTGTGGGACTGGAGCATATGAGAACACCATGAGGTCATCTGTGAGGCTTGGGCTGCAGTGTAGGGAAGGAATGGAGCCTCAGATAGTGCCCCCTCGCATCAGGGCAGAAAATGGGCAGCCTCCCACTTAATTTAATCTATTAATTAATTATTAAGATCAAGGCGTGGCGGGCAAGAAGGTGGGCGGTTAGCCCAAGAACAGGTGGGCGGGCTGCGCAGAGAGCAGCTCTGAGCAGGTCCCCTGTTACAGGCCCCAAATAACTCGGACTTACACCTACAGTATGATGAACTAACTCTTTAACATCTTCATTAGCAACCTGGACAAGGGTGTGGACTGCACCCTGTTCAGGTTCGCTGATGACACCAAGCTGTGGGGTAAAGTGAATACTCTGGCAGGTAGCGACCGCATCCTGGATAGGTTAGAGAAGTGGGCGGATCTGAACAGGATGCGGTTCAACAAGGACAAGTGCAGGGTGCTGCACCTGGGGAGAGGGAACCAGCATTATGGTTATAGGTTAGGGGCTGACTCTCTTGGCAGCACAGAAGCAGAGAGGGATCTTGGAGTCAGGATTGACTTCAGGATGAATATGAATCGCCAATGCGATGAAGCAGTAAGCAGAGCCAACTGCACCCTGTCCTGCATCAACAGGGACATCACTAACAGGTCCCGAGAGGTCTTGCTCCCCCTCTATGCGGCGC